ACATTTGTGGTGGTGGAAGCGGCACAGACTTCAATGACAGGAGAAAGTAGTTTAAATAGTTTTAATTAACTATAAATTCAATGAAGAGAAAATTCAATAACAACAATTCTGATAATGGTTCAACTCATATATCAAGCCTAACTAAGAGTTACAGCCTCAGGGAAAGAATAAAGATCAATGGACAGATTGATAATGATCAATAGCTGCAGCCCAAGATTGTAGACGGTTGTGTCACAGTCATGACGAGTACAAAAAAAATCTCAGTGCCGCTGAAATCCACCACTGTTTGTACAAGAGATCAAGGTGGTCAGAGGGATCAAAAACAAACAGGTCTGACAGCGACATCCCACTGAGCCGCACGCAAAACTTGTCCCTGCTAACGAGCGTTCCCATGGCAATGATGATGGAGCAGGACTCGCCAAATTCCTTGTGAACGCACCCCTTTGCCCCTATGGTGTGAATGAAAGACCTCAGCTCAGCGGGGGGTTCACTGACCCTCAGGAAATTGAACTGGAAGTTAGCAACAGGGGATTATTATAACAGGCAGTGGCGCCTTGACCTTCAGCATTACCCATTTGTGAGTGAGAGTGGGTTTTATTTGTTTTGGACTTGTGGCTCCCCGGATGCTTGATGACAGTTACCTCCGGTTAAAATCCTTTTCAGCTTTGCAGGATGGCTTTTTTTTTTTTATAGAACAAAAAAAGAAAAAACATCCAGCACGGAGGTCAGAGGTCGTATTAAGATAAGTGGCCGTCAAAACAGCTTCAGTGCTCCTTGGCATATGTTCTCCGTGTCTCTAGACCTCTAGTGGTGTGGTAAATATTCCTTCATTTGATGCTTTTGGTTGCTTTTGTACTTTGTACCCCCTTTAAAATGAAGCAAAAGCCTACTTGCGACATTGCATACAGTTTGTCTAGGGGTTGTGACCAGTTCACCCTGAGTGGTCATCCTGTTAATCAGCCCTTCAGATTATAGGTCTTTCAAACTGTTGGGCTTGATCCACAACCTGAAATCAATGTGCACTGACTAATTAAAAAAAAAGTCCGAAGTAGACCTGAGAATAATAAGACTTGAACCATAATGAGGTCGAACCGAACAGCTCTTCTCATCTTTGTGAGTTAGTTGTTTGCCCAAACAGCTGTTTCCATTTGTTTTTTTTACCTCCCTGTGTTCTCTTTTTTTTTATTAAACTTCTTCCTTATGTCAACACTTTGACGCAATATGTGATAACAGCTGACAACAACCTTCATCATATTGACAGTAGTGCTGCAACGATTAATGGACCAGCTGGTCAACAGAAAATTAGTCTGCAACAGTTTTAAGTAATACCATTTGTCAGCAAAAATGTCAGAAATGAATTGGTTTCAACTTCTCAAATGTTATTATTATCTATCTTTTCACAGTGAACTAGATATCTTTTGGTTTTTGGACTGGTTTTGGATAGAGAAAGACCCTTGAAACAGTCTTTTTAGACCAAACTGAATTTATTACTCAATAAAATAATCAGCATTCCTACATGACTGACTGAGTCAAGACGCCAATACAAAGGGACCCTCTTGAGGACCTACCTTGTCTGAATATAATTTAAACCTGAACCTGTCAGAACCTCTTCCTCGGATTTGTTTTGCAACCCCCTGGGAGTGGTCCCAGCCCCACTGCCGTAGAAAACCATCTATACATTCATGTTAACGTTGGCCTCTGTTGCTCTGGGCTGTGTTACTGATCAAAGACTAATGACTGTGGGTGGGGTATTCTTTGTCACTAATGAAGACCGATAGAAGCCCGGAAAGCCTTGGGGGTGACAACAGGTGGATCTTTTAGAGGAAGCCCCACAATCTGTCTGTGTTCATTCATAGCAGCAGGTGGATGTGTGGAATCTGGAAACCATCTTTCTCTCCCTCAGGGCTCCTCTGTATAGTGTTACTGACAGGTGTGTTTCCTCCTCTGTAAATCATTTTATGTCAGTTACAGCCGTGTTGGTTGGTTATTGTCCCCTCATGCAGTTTGAAATATTAAATGAATGTGAAATGCCACAAATCGATCACAGTCACAGAGCTGATTCCTTTCGAGAGGCAGGATTAATGTACCACATTAACACACAGTGATCAAATGTCTGTTTTACTGCAGTTCAAAGAGCCGACAGGAAAACTGCAGGCTGTGTTCAAGTTTAAAGAACGGTTTAACATTTTAGGAAATACACTCATTTGCTTTCTTGCTGAGAGTTACATGAGTTACATACAAAAATTGAGGCATTAAAACATTTGGTTTCACACGAGCTTGCTGGACTATTTCTTAGCCAGGCTGCTGTGTCCCACTGCGTCCAGTCTTTACACTCAGCTGACCGTCTCCTGGCTATATATTTAAAAGAAGAGTTTGATATTTTGGGAAATATGTTTATACACATTCTTTACCGAGATTTAGATGAGAATATTGATACCACTCTCATATATGTCCACTATGTCAAACATTGGCCTCAAAGCGCAGTGCTCTTCCTGGGGGCTCGGTTTCACCATGATATGTAGAACTAAACTAACCACCTCCTAGCTTTAGCTTCCTATTTAGTTTACACACTACTGGTGTCAATCTTCTCATTCAATTCTACGAAATAAACGTCAATAAGTGTAGTTCTCAAAGTGTCAAACCTTTCCTTTAAAGCAGCTGAGATGATAGCGAACAGAATGAAGAGAGAATTAAAGGTGTGTGAGGTGGCAGACAGTTTAACCCTTTCTGTTTCCCTTAGTTTTCTCCATAGCCTCTGTTAGAGTAACCATGTTTTTAGCACCACTGAGGGAGATGACTCGGTGTGAGGTCAGATGTTCTCACAGTCTTATGAATTAGACATGAGTGATGGTGTGGTCCAGCTCTGAGGACGGGACAGCTGAGCATGCAGGCTGATGTTGGCAACATGAGGCCATTTGTGACGTCTGCTTTATTAATTAGTAATAATCTCTGAGTATCAGTTGGACAAGGCTGCTTACTCGTGGGAGATTACCACTAAGTTGTGTAAGAGTTTATTCTAGAAATGACCAGAAAGTGGCCTCTTATATCGTGTTAGTATGTTTTATTTGAATCTGAACAACAATAGAAAGTGCTCTGACTGATCTGGAAGCAGATTCTTTGCTCTGAAACCAAATTCTGTCCGTTAAGGTGCTGGAACCAACGTATTATCACCCCCATCACCACCGTCTCTGATTCATCTCCTGTTTTTTTGTCAGATGCACCATTTGTTTCTTTGTTTAGACAAGAACAGTATCGGATCACTGCGACCATGTCAACTGTGGCAGTGAGGGATGTGTTGTCCTGAAACAGAACCAGTTTCCCTCCAACTGAGAGCTACAGTGCAACCGTTGATTGGACGGAGAGAGAGTGGACGGGGGAGGGTGGGCGATTTACTTCCTTCCCCTCTGGTCTGTCAGGTTGAAGACTGGTTGGGTTTTTTCTGTACTTATTTAGGTAGTGGGTGCTCTATATGTTGAAATACTGTATGTTTTAATTTAACCATTTGACTTCATGTTATGGTGTTGGTTTTATGGTGTAAGGTGTATTTGCACTACTTCTTTATTTTATGTGTAATTTGATGTCATTTTAGTTGATTTGTGGTGCTGATTTAGATTAATTAAATTAAATGTATTATTATTGATTGACTAACTGATCATTGCAGCTCTATGTCATCTTGTGAAATTACTGGTTGTAGATAAAGACTGTATGAGGCTTCTGTTAGCTCACGTTCCTCGGCTCGTGCCCTTCCCACCCGTTTGACAGTGAGCGGGATCGTCAAGTCCATCCTGTCTTTATAAGTACTGTATTTGAGGGAATTTTAAGTCCTCCCCAGCAAAATAACAGATGAGCACTTTTGATTAATTTGCCTGATCTCAACTTTTTTTCTGGTGCACTGTTGTTTTTGTTAATGGTGTTGCTGCACGACAGGCGCTGCCCAATAGCAACAGATGATGTTGATCTGAATACACGAGAGACCGCTGGTTGTTTTCAAGAAAGCTACAGTCAGTGCTGGATGCTAATTGGCCACTAGTATATTTCCCTCTGAGTTAAATCAGGAAATCTGTCTAATTGGATTTTAGTCATTGTTGCCTTCTCACTTGACAGGAGTTCATCGTATACTGTCTCTGCAAGGAATGAAATGAAGCCAGAAATAGTTTAACAGAGTTTTATTAGACAGGCAGCAAGAATTTATTTCAATTCAAGTTATTTATTTTTTTGACGAATCAACTTTTCACCTTGTGGCCAAATGAGTGTCGACCTGTTGCAAGAGCAGTAGGGAACCACTGGGTTACAGTGTTAAATGAGACTATTTGTGAAAGTCATATTTTTGTTTTAACTTGCAATTACTTGTTCTCTTTCCTAGCGGCCCGCTACATGAGAACTCCTTAAGAATGAAAATGATACCGAACTGTGTAACAGAAGCTAAGCTGTGGGTGTAATGTCTCTGACCATTATACACCCCAGAGCCTGACTTCAAAGCCCTTCAAAAATAGAAAAAAATAGGACTTGCCATTTCCCTTATTGTGAGCCCCTTTGACTGGGTACCCCTTCTCTTTTGATCTATCGCATCCCTTAATTTCCCCTAATTTCAGATTGTCCATGACAACATGCATGACTACCTCTGTATAATCCCGTCCTATGTTGTTTTTGTTGCTCTTGTAGCCCCATGGCCATCGCAGCCCCCCGCCCTCTCCCCCTGGGAGGTAACCTTCAAAGGCTCTGCTCAGCACGATGGATGACCAGCTGAGTGATGGAGATGGACAGAATCAAAGGACATACTCCCTTCATTGTGACTAGATGAAGGGACACCTACCTTCTTCAAGCAGTGAGGGGACGTACACTGCAGCATTTTAATGTTCTTCAGAGTGAATTGATGCACCAAAAAGAAAACAAATTACTTCTTTGGACATCGTTTTGAAAAAGAGGATATACTGATCAAATCAGTTTGTGGACCATACTTTCTCAGCATAGAGCTCATATGCTGACTGCTTACCCCTGTGATGCTTGTTATGAGTTGTCCAGCCACAACCAATGAGCCAGAGAGCTGCAGCAGCGAGGGGAGCAGCTGCACCACTTCCTCCATCTCCACCTCCGACCCATCCTCTATGTCTGGACACACTCACGCCACCCTACCTTCCCTCAGCGATGACCCCGACACCTCCAGGCATGAAGCTCCCCCACCTCCTCCCCTGCCGCCCCCGCCTCCAGGAGCACCCCCGCCCCCTCCACCTCCATCAACCACGTCCACCAACCAGAACGCGAGAAAGAAGCGGCGCGTCCGCAGCTTCTTCTGGAAGCCGATACCGGAGGAAAAGGTACGCGGAAAGCCCAACATCTGGACTATGGCGGTGCGGCAGCAGCAGTACCAGATCGATGTTCGCTCTGTGGAGGAGCTGTTCGGGCAGCAGGAGGAGGCCGTGTTGGGCGTACGTGGGACGACAGCGGCCAGTGGAACCTCAACTCGTGTCTCCAGGTCTCGATCCTTCAAGGAGAGCAGCAAGGATGAGGTGAGTGGTTGTTATCAGTCCGTTGTAACTCTTACTCCAGCAACCACAAGACAGGTGATGATGGGAGTTTAAGTTATTTGATACATCAATTATTGTAAGATTAAAGTGGCCCTTTGTCTGGGAAGTATATTCAACACACAGGACCACTGCAACTACCTGTTAACAATCTTCGGTATATTATATAACCTTTAGTAAGTCAGCAGAGGTGGCAAAAGTGAGCACATTCTTTACTCAAGTAAAAGTACAGAAAAAGTTATATAACTTTTTATAAGTTGTATATGATGTATCTGATTTATCCAGTTCTGATCTGTTGCTTTAAATTTCAGAAGAGGTGAGACTTACTGAGGCAGCTTCAGCAGGAGACATTTTCTGAACAAAAATTATAGTGTATAGTTTTCTTCTTGATGCTACTCACATTCTTTTTTTATATACAGTATACAGTGAGTGCATTATTTATGTCCTGTAATGAAACGCAGTAAAGTGCATCAAGTTGTTTTGAAGCAGAACGAGCAGCCTATTAGTGTAAGATATCTCCATAGTCAAACACAGACATGAGACAGACTCCAAGGACTGAGATAATTGCCTCGATTTATTTTAGACCAAGAAGATTCAGGGTGTTCAGATTTAGAGTTACAGTTTTCCTTTTTATTAAAAAGAAACCAAACCTAATTGAAGAAGTGTTTTGCACACCATTAAGTCCTACTATTAGATGTTAGACCAAAGACTCTTTAAACTGAGGAGGAACCAGAAATCTTTCACACTGACAGTCACAATCAAGATTTAGGCCTGAATCTTCCTTGATGAGGGTCTACCAACTGAAGCGCTCTAAGATTGTATTCGGAAATATTAAATTATGCTGACTCTATTCTGTTTGCTCACATTTAGAAAATACACAGGTTTGATTAGTGGAACATGGAGTCCTGATGCCTACAAACTCTTAGACTCACTCTCATTGATTTTCCAAACGTGCCAGACGTATTGGTTACCTCAGGTCCTGAACACACCAGTGGCAGGATTAGAAAGTCCCAGATTCATAACCATACAATGCTACAGTGCATTACTCTATCCTGCTCCCAGTGTATTAAGATATCCCTGTAGGGACGAGTCGGGTAACAGTGTTCAGTTACAGCTTTTCTTCGAATGTAAAAAATGATTTGTGTTTATAAACAGAACAAAAGCGTGCTTGCGTCACCAAGAACTCCTGGAAAGTAACGTGAACTGTAAAGCAATATGTGTGTGAGGCGCAGGGAGACTCACAGAGTAACTCTCCTCTGTGTCCCCACAGTGAACTGACTGCAGCTGGTCAAACCTCAAAGTGTGAACAGTGTTACTAAACACTCCTTAGAGAGTTTAAATAATGCCACCATTTCTGCACACATGCGATTACTGTATCTCTATTTGTTACTCTTATTAATATATTTGAAATATATTATCCCAAACCTTACCTTATTGTCATCGTCACTCTCAAATAATCTGCTATTTATTGATTGTTTAGTCTGTAAAATATGACAAATTCTCATCACAAGTTCTCAGAGACCAAGGCAATGTCCTTGAACTTCTTACTTAGACTTTGTTTGTCCCACCAATAGTCCCAAACCCAAAGATATTCAACTTCTAATGATACCAAAGCAGCGTATCTTCCCAGCAGAGAAGTTGGAAACAGAAAATATTTGCCATTTTTGTTTGACGTCACCTTTGATTCAAGCGTCAATTTAAAAGCTGTAATTAGATCTTGTGAGGGAGCCTTTTTAAAATTGTAGATGCTGTGCAGCTACCTGTTGAAGGCGTGAACCATGTGTGGCCAGTGGAATTTCACTGTTCCATAGGGTGAATACGGGTGGGGTGTAGGTAACACAAGCAACAACAACAAGGAGGTGTGTGGGAACATATGTGTTTCATTGTGTGTTCAACCAAAGCCGCAGCACAACCATGTGTCATACATGGTGTCTTTCCTTTGTTTTCAGATCAGTATTCTTGACTCCAAGAGGGGGATGAATGTGGGCATTTTCCTGAAGCAGTTCAAGAAGTAAGTTTTCCACCTGCTTTACTATAAAGCTCAGTGGAGCCTGTAGCACAGATTGGTGACAAATCTGTAAACACCAATAAACAACATAAAATGTCTTGCCTCTTATTTGTTTTCATGACCACTTCGCATAACTTTGTGTAATTTGCTACTCGTCAGTTTGACAATGGACGTGTCATACAGACCAAGAAAGTATCAAGGTACAGTTGTCTTGTTGTGTTGGTCTGTGAAGCAATTTGATGAAATTACTCTAGCTTTTATGGGTAATTATCATAGATCAAGGATGGGAAATAACACAGTGGCACACTCACTACAAAATAAAGTCTGACTGTGATTGAACCAAAAAATGCAGCAGACTCTGTCCATCACTTGTCCTCTCTTCATTCATGAATAAATCAATTTGTCTGGATGCACCACTGTTCTGTTCCCCACTTTAAGCCGCTTATGTGGCCTTTCATAGAAAACAATGGGTTCTGGTGTTTTGATGTGTATCATAAAGCTGCCAGTGTGTGTTTTGGCCCAAAATATCCCACAGCTACTTATTGAGATAAGATCTTGTGACCAGAAGTGGTTCACATCATTTTCATACTCACCAAACTATTCACTGTGTGTTTCTCCACTCGTGTATTCAGGTTTTTCCTTTAATTTGTTACTTGCGTGCATATACAGTATACATTTAATGAGTATAATGAAACTCAGTGTGGTTGTGTAAGAGTTTTAGAGATATTATGGTCTTAAAGACCAGATTATGAGGCCACAAGTGTAGAATAAGGAGTAAAGAGTGTCTAGAAGGAAGGAAGGTGGTGGATTTACAATTTGGCAGGCAAACTTTTAGTTAGCTTGTGGCTACAAGCTGTCACAACTACTGAGGAGAGAGAGATGTTTGGCCATTATGAGATGGGCTGTGAGCTATCTAACTTCGTCACACAGTTTTCTCTATGGCTGACGAATTCTAAGAGAGAGAGAATAGGAAGGGAGTAAGACTGATAGAGGAAGGTTTTTGTTATCCTTCCAAGTGTACCACATTTGAGTAGAGTGTGTTTCAGCTGTTCACACTGCTGTCCCAGAGATATGAGACCCAACATTGATGGTATCTTGAGAACATTCTCAGTTTCAGTTTGTGTTTTCGTGCCTGACCTTTATAAGAGAGGGGGATTAGGGTCAAAATATGTGTCAGTTACCCTTAAGAGGCTTTCTCAGCTCTCTATTGTTTATAATTAATTAATTGGTTCAGGAAATTTCGTGGTGTGTTCGGCCAGACTCCGCATTGTGTTACGTATGTCGTCTAGAGCAGAGTACAAAAAGTGTGTTAGGTGTCTGTTTTGCATGGCGGTATATTTGCATTGCTCCCCACTGGATTTGAATGACATTTGACTGTCAGCCATATTCACGACTGACTGAGCATTGGCCTCATCACAGATAGTGTTTATTTTTGTGTGTGTGATATTGGGTCATAAATAAAATTGACTTGACTTTAATTGATTTTAATCGAGTTAGTTTCATGTCTATAAGCGTTGGAAGTGCTCTAACTGTAAAACACCAAAGATTTTCTTTGCAGGAAATGAACAGAAGTACGAGACCGGTTCACTTTATGGTGAACAATGCCCAGGTGGAGTTCTTGGACACTAATATCTTATCCTCTTATAAACTGCTTTATGTTACTTTTCACAGCATCATTTCATAGTTTTTAGTTTTTTAGTTTTTGTGCTGTACCCATTTGGTAGTTTTACTGTTACTCCACCTGGAGTAATACAGACAGAATAACTCACAGTATAATTTGATCCAATACAACAATCAAACTCCAGTTATTCAGAGTTGAATAAACATGTATCCAGTACAGTCAGTGGATATTATAATGCTCATAAAGGTGAGATTCATTACAGAGCTACGGTTTAAGGGGATAGGGTTGCATCATATTATAAGGTATCAGCTTACTGCGTATTGTTATTGAGGGTTTTCTAAAGGTTGTCTTTTATAGTGGTGATGTATTTGGGAATTGTGTTGCAGTACTACAGACTTTGATGTGTCATAGATCAGGGCTGCCACAAGTGGGGCCCACCATAATGTTCGATTTGGCACCCCAGATGTTATTGGTGGAAAAAACTAATTAATTGATAAAAAATACATATTAATAGTTGTTTTATATTTTGTGAGGTAAAAATGCTCTTTAAATACGTAAGATCCTTAATTATTAATTATTTATAGATGAATGTCATTAGCAGTAATTGAGAATACATATTGAACTGGGAATGTCATGTCAGGTGTGTAAGGAGCAATGAAATGTAAAGAAGAGGGGACCCCCACTCACTCTTATTCCCACCACCCAACCTGAATCTATGTTGTGTCTCTTTTTTTAATATATTGTCTCTTTTTATTGTCTCTATTTTATCTTTATTTGTATTTTTTATGTTTAATTATGATGCACCAATTGATCAAAAGCTAATTCCTTCTATGTGAAAACCTACTTGGCAATAAACCTGATTCTGATTCTGATTAGATGCTGAAACATTTCGGGTTGTAATTTGGAGATCCACTGGAGAGGATGTTTTTCATTTTACTTATATTGTCACTGTCCATATTTTTGGCTTGTTTTCCTGTTAATGAGGCCAAGCCAGACTCTGTGAGTCACAGCTGGATTAAGTGCCTTTGTAAACACAACGGATCAAGCATTAAAAGAGAGCACCTGTGCTATTTATCATCAAACTAAATTGAAATGAACCGTCTGCCTTCCAGGTCCAACCGCTCTATTGTTGAAGACATACGACGTGGAGAAGGAAAGGTCTATGGAGCGGAGCTGCTCAAAGACCTCCTGAAGCTGCTGCCTGACGCAGAGGAGGTCTGTGTTTATGGATATCTGTGTTGATATGATAAAAGAGTGAATGTAGATAGAAAACAATACAGCCTGCTGAGCTTCCTTTCTCTCTCTGTGTTCTCCCAACAGATCAAGAAACTTCAGGCTTTTAAAGGAGACCCAGACAAGCTGACACTGGTCGATTCCTTTATGTACCTCTTGATCCAGGTGCCTCAGTAAGTTGGTTTTAATGCTGTGTACATAGTTTAGTTTCAGTAAAAACGGAAGAGTGAAGTTGCTTCTTTTACTGTCAGTAAAAGAAGAAAAGGTTTGTTCTGTCGAATCATTTTCTGAAGATAAATTTGCATTTTGTGGGAATTTTACATGAAACTTTTATGACTCTCCTCACTCACTAAAAAAATATTTGTATTTTTTATTTATTTATGGGTTTTTTGGACAGTGCACATTCACAGTTTTAAATGTAATGTACCAGAGTTTGCAATGATTGAGTAATAATCTGTAGATTATTCCCAAAATGTTACAATAACCCTATCTGCAAATATTTAAGTCACACACTAAAAGTTTCTATATTTTATGGGATATTTTTACTAAAATCCAAATTTTCTTTTTCTGCAAAAACGGTGATTAAAGTAGTATTAGTGTAATGGAGATGATGCAATTTCTCCTGGGTATGATGCAGAAGTAAAACAATGATTGGTATAAAGATACTACTTTCAGAGAGTATTAAATTAAGTAACAATAGTTTTTAAATGAGTCACGACTGTCTGGAGGTACATCAGCTCCCACTGCAACTCAGCCCAAGATAAAGATATGTCAAGTTATGTATGCATATATAAAAATCCCTGAAAATAATGTTTCACCTCTTGACCACTCTCTTCTTCTTCTTCTTCCAGATTCGAGGTTCGGATCGAGGCTATTGTCCTCCAGGAAGAGTTCTTCCCTTCCTGTGCTGTAATGAGCCACGAGATCGATGTCGTCCGCGTCGCCACTAAAGGTAATAACACACAGGCTCTGCTACACACACACACACACACATAGTCACATGTACTCAGACAGGTGACCCAGATATTTGAGCTGTCAGCAGTGTACAAAAAGTAGGAATGGTCACCTGAGATACAGTGATGTGGGGACAGAATGGAAAGACAAGGCTGTGTCATCTTTAAACTGTTTTAAATATTTCAATGTTGATTATTTTAAAATATATATAAATTATATCTTATTTAAGCTATATAATTT